ACACACACACACACACACACACACACACACACACACACAAACATGCACACATATAGCACATATACTGGTGTACTCATACCCACACATTAGTGTACAATCATGTGAATATGCACTCCAATATACACACCAAAAAAATGTAGGATTTTAAAAGAATTTATTTTTACATGTACATTAAATTGTTGGTGTTTGAAAAATAAAAGTAATATTTCAGTGTTTATGAATTTTGTAAATAAAGTTTCTGCTTCTGATCTTTCACTCGTTAACTATGTATTTAGAAAGTTAGATTGATGGGGAAACACCTGGTTAGCAATGTGAAGGTTACTATGCAATATTCCTTCAAAGTAATCCTTGTGGAGGCAGTGGAATGTTTTGTTAATTGCACTCTGCATCATGGGTGAAGAACAGAAAGATTGAGAGAGCATTGCTATCTGAACCAGATTCATCAGGAACAGTTTAGGTAGCTTGGATATGTTTAAAATTGCTCCGATTGTTCTGTATCTGATACAGGTGAAACATTTTGCTGACATTTGATTTTGACAAGTTTCCCCATTTATATTTAAAGGAACTGTGGCTGCAGCAGCTGGCCTTCACCCGGGGCAGTGTATTATCAAAGTAAATGGAATCAATGTTAGCAAAGAGACACATGCCAGTGTCATCGCACATGTCACAGCCTGCCGGAAATACAGGCGGCCAATGAAGGTACAAATAAGGATAGATTTCATTGAAAACTTCCTTGAAATAATTATGGGATGTCATACACTGATGTATGAAAAGCTTTTGCTTTTAAATGTAAACACAGCACTGTGAATTTCATTATGACTGTTTTATTTGATTAGTTAATCCTAACTACTATTGACTATGTTTAAATAGTTGTATTTTATCATGAGATTTTATTTTTGCATCATCGTTGTTTGTTTAAAAAACATGTTTCTGAGACACTTTTTTTTCTTCCTTCTGTCCCTCTCTCCCTTTCAAGTCCCATTGTTTCTGGTGGTTGAACCCAGGGCCACATGCATACTAGACAAGTATCTGCCACCGAGTTCCTCCCTCAGCCCTTATTTTTGATAGTTTATTAATGTTAAGTTTATGGCTATGAAATGTTTTCATGAGATACTTTAGAACATAATCTAATCAAGA